AAAAAGTTTTTCCTTTGCTGCTTCGCTACTTGATGAAGCGGCGCGGTCAAGGAAACATGCGACTCAACTGTGCACGGAAAAACTCTCAAATCAAAAACAAGCATGCATGTAAAACTTGTTTTGGTAAAACTGTTAAGAGCTGTTTCAAAACAAGAGCTCTAAAACTTTATTTCTTGGGTGGAGCTATTTTTACGCTTGTCTCAAAAGAGACCGCTGTTACCATGCAGACAGAAGAAAGTCATGTCAGCAAGCTGAAAGTTTCCTTCTTCGCATAGTAATAAAAAGCTCCATGATTCCAAGATATTTCAGTAATTATCTTCAAGACAATCACTTGAATATATATAAAACAATTAAGCGCACAGCACACTCACAACCCTTCTCAGCTTCACTCGGACAGGCCTTCATTTTCCTTTCGTAGTCGGAAAGGGGTCAGACGAGTTTCGGTAACGGACTTGAGAGTCAAGCACCTGGCCATCCGATTGCAGTCTAGATTCTGCGGATGACCTGATGAGTCTGAACATCCCCTCTCACCACGAATCAGATGGCCAAAGCCTGGTTGTCCTGAAAGTCTGGAAAAGGCTCTACGCAAGTGGCTCTACTCAGCTTTAGCACCGACTGCCCATCCCCGCGCGAGGGAGCGTCACTAGGATTTGAAGCAGACGGCACTCGGCTGATCCAAGTGAAACTCAAGCTCTCATCTTCTACCTTTGCGAAAGCGCGAAGCATGATATCCATGGAGCGGCTGTGGCTCTCATTTCGAATCAGGCCAAACCTGGCAGCTTCGTTGTCACACCAGAAGACCGTGCGGCGGCCTGCTAGGTCATCTTTCAAGAAGCATCTCATGACCAGAACTGCGTACAGCTCAATCTGGCCGATGATTTGCTCACCAACCTCACTGAGCCAAGCCCTCACAAGGTTGTCTGGGAGCCTGCCTTGAAAGACGCGACCCTGACTTGTTGCACAGTCGAAGACAACTGCCCCCAGACCCGCAACTCCGTCTTGCCAGCACCCATCGGTAAAGACGTGCACAAGGGGCTTGCGGGCTGCAAAAGTAATCGTCCTAGGCGGAAGAGTCGTCAATGCTTTAGAAGCCAAGTCACACAAAGCTCGGAGCCTCTGGGGAGTGACATGGTCTCGCGAAAACACCAAGCGGTTGAGGTCAGCACATACATGCCTCAACGTCCTTCCACCGTAGAAGCCTGATGCAAAGCGAAGCAACCCTAAAAGGACTTGTCCTTGATGCCTCGTGATGCGGCCCTCATCTGACACCATGCAGAGAAGATCTTGGATTTTCTCCGCACGACCTTCCTTGTTGGAAAGGACCAATGTGCCACGGTGCAGCGCAGCCACATCGGCCGACAATCCCAGAACGTCAAACCGGCTCGCGAAAGGATGGCCTTTGCCTCCTTCTCCAGTCTTGGCATGACGCCAACCAAGGAGAGACAAAAACCTTGAGGCGCTGGCATCCGCTTCTGAACCCATGTCTTCAGGAACAAGCATTGGGAAATCATCGTAAAAATGGGAACACGGAATGTGCAGTACCTTCGTCAAGAGCCACCAGATGCTCCTAGAGACCCGGTTGAAAGCAAAGACCGCTGAAGTCGATCCAAACATCAAGGAATTGCTAAGGTAAAACGAGTGACTCCCATCTTCTTCTTCTACCATGATGACCGCAAGATCCCTGTGACAACCTGCTACGGGAAGCTGCTTGTACGCCTTGGCCAAGTCGAGGCATTTCGCCACCCAAGGCCGGGCGGCCTTAGGATTGTTACCCGACAGACGTGCTACTTCCAGCGCCATGGCAACGAAGAAATCCGCATCTTGTAACCGAAGTTTGATGGTGGCTGCATAGGCTTCGTTCAAATTCAAATGTGCTTCACAGCAATCCTCGATCGGCCTAAGCTTTTGCCCCTGCTTAATGATGAAGCGTCGGATGGCCAGCCAATGACGATGTCCAAAGTGAGCTGTGACCTGCTCCTCTGTGAATGGTCCTTGGATGAACCCCGAAGCGAGCTCCTCTCTGGTGGCCTCCAGCAGATGGGCTGTGTGCTCCGGCTCCTGATGCAAAGGCCTAGACATCATTCCACGACGCAAGTCGGGCGCCGCTGCTCTCAACTCTGCTTCTGTTAGAACCGCAGGTCTCACCTTGGTTTCAAAACATGGCGGGCAGTCCGAAGTACCAACTAGCGGGACACCCTGCTTCAAGAAATCTACCACCTCCATGTCATCATAATCAGACTGTCGAAGCAACGTTTCCCAAAGGAGGATGCGCTTGTCGTGAACAACACCTTGCATCCAATCTGGCATCGATCTATGCAAAGCTTCCTCATCCTTCTCAAGCTTTTTAGCGAGGATCTCTGCCTTCATCAAGGCAATCTTACGCTTGAGGGCCAGAGACTTCTGATCGGAAGAGAAGCTTTTTAAGATGGCATCCAACGTGATTTTCGGAAGGGCTGCAGCAACATCCATCGGGTGGGCGAGGCCGACGGCTTCGTCCAACCATTGCTCTGGGCTACGATAAAACCCCACCCTGCAAAGCTCACTCCCCGAACTCACCCCCTCAATTGGAGGCTGTAGGGCTTTGCAGCCTGTTGTTGGAATCTCATCTCTGCGCATGGAGCGAATGCAAGCAAATTCAGAAATCAGCGGCGGGTGGCGACGATGTTGGCGGCCCTGAGCCGCGAGAGCCTGCAACCTGGGCACATGCGGTGGCACGCAAGCCCAGCCTGCATCGAGTGCTGCTGATTTGAAACATGCGGCCATGCGCTCGGCCAGGACCGCAGGGTAAGCCGACTCAAGGTGTGTACTAAAAAGCCAACCTGATTTGGCCCATTTGACACTCCAAGGAAGGTGCTCGTGAGATTTATCGCACACAATGGCCAGCGACTGGAAAGCACGCGAGCTGCAAAGAAGCTTGGTGGATTTCGGGCGAGATCCACCATGCATACACATGTCAAAGACAACTGATTGCATGTCAACAAGTCGGGCCTTAAGCTGCTTGTCCTTGCACCGTCGGATCTGCAAGGCAAGGATTGACCAGTACCACGAATTGGTGGGATTCTCGATGGTGATTTGAGCCCCTGCCTCAAGAGCCCAGGTGAGCACGCGAAAGCAGAAGTCATACAACTTGTTTGCAGACTGCAGGCGCTGGCCATTTAGGGAATCCGGGTCTATTGAAGGTAACCCAAAGGGGTGGTCGGCGGACCTTAGGGAACAGGTTCAGGCACACCAATGGCCTTGGCTGATGCGGGAAGTGGCCTCTCGCGTGCACGCGAGCAGGTCCCACAAGGCGGCGCCATGTGGATGGCACAAGGATTACGACTGCGCAGCAAGCCGAAACAGGTCTCTTGACAACCGTGATGTGTCAGGTCGAGCTGGACTGTCGGCACCAGAGGCGCGCGCGCCTGGGAGTCGATGGGAACAACATCAAATCCTTGATCCATGCACGCTCGCGAAAGCGAGCCGCAACCGCTAAAGAGCTCCAAGAAACAAGCCTGGCCTTTAGTGCAACCCTGATCCTGGAGATCAGCTTGATCTCTTGGCGAGGGATAAAGAACCGGAAACCCCAAGGCAGCGAGCGTTTGAAGATCCGATTCAGGCAGTTTGTCAATGCTCCTGATGGAATATGCCACTAGCACCAACCTATAACCCTGCCAAGGAAGGACAGCATGTCTGCAACGTCTAGCAGAAAAGATGGCTGGGCCATCTTGAGGAGACAAAATGTCGCCTCGCAGTGTTTCGCCCTCGAAGGTGCGGCGATGAGAGCCTAATTCATTCTCTACAAAAATCTCCCCCCCTCAAAGCTGCTTATGGCAAGGACAGCATTTAAGGAAGAGGCATCGTTGTGCGAATCAGTATGTAAGCCAGCCTGACTGTTTTCAAGCAGGATTAGGGATGAAAAATTGTGATTGGCGCACCTCTGCCTAACAAAAGCACACAGGACTCTGCATGTCAAAGGAAAAAGGTGTGTGTTCTGGCGCAACCCGCCAACGCCTCCATGAATCCATGCACCGACACCGAAGGCCCTGCCCTCGGTTTCAGTTGTGTTACGCGTCACAACTTCACTAGGAAGAGCTGCATAAAGCCTGAGGATGTCAGCTTGTTGCAAGACGCCTTTAGCGAGCAATGATTCAGCAAGGATTTCGGGAGAGGGCATGCAAGCATCTGCATTGTCAGCTTCGAAAGCTCCGGGGCCAGATGCAACCCCCTGCCTAGTCGGTCAGGTGCTCGGCGCCGTCGGGCACTCATGGCCCGGGTGCTGCTTTCCACAAAACCAACAAACATGAAAGCCTCGGCTGCATCTATTCTTCTTGTTCACTTTGAACTTACAAGTTCCATGATTATAGCCAAAACAATTTGGCTTGTCGTCATGCTTTGCCTTGGCTCCGGGAGGGAGCTGCATTGCGCTGCCGGTGCTCTTACCCTCCCTGTGCTTGCCCTTTCGTCCCTTGCCTTCCCCTCCTTTGCCATCGGCCTTCCATTGGCCCCCCTTGTCATTCTCCCAAGGACGCTTCAGAGGAGGGGGGTTTGTGGCTTTCGGAAGACAAGTAAGAAACTGCAGCACCTCGGTTGAATCGGCTAAGCGCTTTACCTCTGTGTCGAGAGGCTTTTCACGCCCTGGTGTGCCCTGAAGGTTGCCAAGCAGGCGATCCGCTGCGACAGTGAACAAATGACGATCTGCGGCCAAAAGCTGCTGCAGACTTACGCTAACATAACCATCAGGAGGAGGCCTCTGCATCATGATGAACATCTTTTGAACCCAGCCTTCCAAGATGGTGAATGTGGCGAGGCCGGCAAGCTCAAAGGCGATGCTCCGCCTCGACCACGCCTGGCGCAGTGTCAACGCTGAGCTAGCCTCACATGTCAACGTTTCCACCTTTGCGTTCACCTTCAAGTTGCCATCTGTTGTAATGCTCAAGGACTTCTCGGTTTTGACATTCTGAACCTCTTGCGCGCGCGATACGTACTTGTGGGGCTCAAGATATGCCATGACTCCTGTCTCGAGCATATCTACCAAACGATCAACCACTGAATGTCCTGGGGTGGTTTCGGGAGCAAAGATCACTCCTGTCAACTGACGCTCGAGGGCAGTCTGACGAGCGATGCGCTCGGCAACCGGCATCTTTCTGACAAGCACATCAGACTGAGGCTCGACACGGCTCTTCATGTCTGAAATCGAAAGGGCCTGAGCCTCGAATAACGCCCGTCTGATGCACGCCATCTGCTGGGGCGTAGGAGGCCGGGTGAAAACTGTATTGACCCACTGCTGCACCTGCTCCTCGTCAGCTGTGTTCGGCAAAGAACTTACAGCAAATGCCAAGTGGCCAAACGTCTTGTAGTTGCTCGTGATGAGGACATCGAGGGTTGCTTCCTCCATTCCTATCTTCAAACATCTCTCTCTGAAGGCTGCCTCGGAATCCAAGGTAACAGCAGCCATGGCAGACTCGATACAAGCCCTCTAGGGATTAGTGCAAAGATTCTCAATGCGCCCATGAAAGACATCAAATTGTGCCGTCATGTCCCCTAGACTTGCTGTCGCTCTGCCCTCGGCCCGGCGATGCGATACAAGAGTTTTCGCACCAATCTGATGATTCTGCCTAACGCAGTTAATCACAAAGCTGTACCGTACCTGACGAGCAGCCCCCCGGTGTTTCTGGCCGTCGCTCGAGTGGGGTGCCAGCTTCCCCACTCGACAGCCAGGCAGGGCTCCACATGCGGTGGCGAGGCGCGACGTTTCTCCAAAGGAGGTCGCTGCTTCTCGCCTTGATTCCGCTTAACAAGCTCTCGCCATACTTTTTCTCTTTCACGATTCGGCTCACGTCAGCCGTCTCGGGCCCTCTGACATTGCAAGCAAAAATCTGGATCGGCAGCAGCTGGTCCTGCCCTTGCGAAAGGCATATACCGATCACTTAAAATTCTACCGCAGAAGAATTGCTGGGCATCCACACCTTCTTTCAAGTGATGAACGATGCCCGACAGCCGATGAACCTTTAGGAGGGAGTGGTCTACGGGATCCCGAAACGGCACCCGGTGCAAAAGATCTTCGCCTCCTGCAGCCTCAGACTCCCGATCTCCCGAGCCGTCCGTCGACTCACCAGATGATGAGCTGTCCACTTGCGCTCCTGGGTTGTTGTTTGGGCCTCCTCCTTGATCAACATTAGCAGCCCCCGCCTTGGCGACCTCGACGATCCGGCCAACCTCGTTCAAGTCGGGATCATACTTCCCGTCACGGATATGATGAAACATGAGGAGCACCTTGCCATACAAGCTGGTAAAAGCCTGCCGCGAATATGTTAATGGCGATCGATCCTTAGGCTTCATGTGATGTCCAAGCAGCCGCTGCTCTGCTCGACTGAACGATACCGTTGGGCATCGGGACGCCCAAGTGGTAAGAGTAGCCTTAAGACTATGCGAGGACCTCTTCAGGGCCTCCGCCTGCTCGATTCCCGCCTGCATGAGAAACTCCTGCAAGAAGAAAGTTGCTTGAGCAGCGTCCATGGCCACCTCGCCCCAAGATCCTTTACTGTCAAGCCAAGCAGGCTGAGCGAAGTCGCCAAACTCAAAACCCAAATCCTTTCGGGCCTGAACCCACACACGAGCCCAGCTGTGCTTCAAACCGGTGCCAATAGCAACGTAGGGAATCAAGCGAGTCTTAGCTTCCTTAGTTGTCGCCGTCTTTGCTCCTAGGGCATCGGCAATGAGAACAGTCTCGTCTTGCTGCTCCTGGATCTCGATGCTTTTCAAGCGTTGGCCGTCAGACCAACGTGCACAAGAATGCAAGCAAAACAGCAACTGCCCACAGATGACAGCATCCTGAGGATCGGCCCGAGTGCAGAAACTCTCGAGGGCCGAAACCATCTCAGCCGTAAGCTGAGGCTTTTGCTCCAACGGTCTCTTACCCAGGTACATGTCACGAGACACCCCCAGGACCCTTGCAGACAGCACGCTAGAGAGGTCCATGCGACACAAGGTCGCCACTGAATGCAAAAACCTGAGTGCCTCAACGAAGTGGCTTGCGCTTGTAGCTGCAGACTCGGCACTTCGCAAGTAACTCAAGTAATCGTAAATTACTGATTCCCCGGCAGAAAACGGGCTGGCAACCTGATTCTCAACGGCCCACCTGAAGTAGCGCTCAAGCGAACCTGCACGCTTCAGCAAGGTACCCGTCGCCTTACTCCTGAAGGCGTCGGAGAATGACTGTTGTACGAGAGCATCATCCATGAGCCTTGTGGCTGCCCCTGAAAGCGAAGAGGCCAAGTTCGTAGTGTCAGGATCCCACATAATCAAGAACTTCAACCTCTTAAGGGCATGAGTTCTCTCATCAGAACTTTCCCGCGCAACAGGAAGCCGACGGAGATAAGCTCTAGCTACTGGAGGCAACTTTCCGAGCTGATGTTCCTCCAAAGCTTCTTCTGCCGCAGGCTCAAGGACATCAAGAAAGCCCAACACCGTAGCTCTACGCTTAGCCGGCCGCTCCCAAGGATAGCTCAAGCATGTCGGCCCCTCCCAAGCTTGCTTTGGAAGGTTGGCAGCCAAGACACGGGAAGAAGCCTCTGCAGCCTCCCTCTGCACATCTAGTTCATCATAAGGCGAAGCAAGAGCCGGAGGCAGCAGCTCAGGAGCTGGGGAGGCTGCCTCGCACCTCACAATTGGAAACTCCTCTGCCTGAGATTCAGCTTCCAGTGCAACCGGGGCATACCAATCAGCCTCGCCCTCAACATCATCCAAAAGATTTTCAAGATACGCAACAAAGGATGCATTAGAAGCGGGAGCCCTTTCAGCATCATCCCCAGGCTGATGCACCCATCCAGCATCCTGGGAAGGGACTTCAGATTCTAAGTCCCCTTGAGAGGCCTCCGGAGCGTTTGGAAACACCGTTGGAGGCTCGGCACTACCCCCTGAAAGAAGACTCCAAGGGTGCAAGCCTGAAGATTCTGGGCTGTGGCAGGAATCATCAGTGTCCTGTTGCATGACGAATGGCCTGCAGAAAGCGAAGAAGGACTTGCAGGGCAAGCCAAACTAGAGCGATCTCGATCTGCTCTTGATTATCCCAGCAAGAGCCAGCAAGGCCTGCCACCTCGGCTGGAGAAAGACAGGCTAGCACGATGCAAGTACAAGCGGGCTGCAGAGCACACCAGAGCTCGTCAACGACACTTGTCAGGGACTCTTCGGAGCCTGTCCCGTCCTCAGCCATTCGCTGGCTCCAACAGGGAGCCAGCTTGCACGGGCCCTAAGGGCAGCACTGATATTAGCACCTGAGACCTGCTAGGACCACGGGACAGGCCTTCAGAGAGCCCAAAAAGTTTTTCCTTTGCTGCTTCGC